GGGGGGAAGGGGGAGAGAGAGAGACACACTAAAATATATTCACACCACAAGTCTGTGATAAAAAAAAAAAAGAAACGCTATATAAATACTGTAATCATTAATCGCATAACTTTGATAGACGCCAACATTAATTATTATTTAGATGATTTATATTTAATATCACTTTTTATATCATAACCATATAGTGTCACTATTTATGAAACTTTCGATGGTCTTTAAGTATATACAGAACTGTAATATTAATTGGATTTGTTTACATTTACGTTTCGTTTCGCGAATTCGATTGTTGACTAAATTTAAATTAATTATTTTTACAGATAGCAGAAACTGAAGATGACCGGAATAAATGGATCGACACGTTACAGCTAGCAATGCGCCTGAAACGATCAACTGTGTCTGTATCAGATGTATTAAAAACGTAAGAATACAAAATGATTCTCATTACATTAAATTACATAATATAAAACTTTAAACAATAAAAAAAAAAATTATGTTAGTTAATATAGGCCTGCAATATTATAAATATCTAACATTTATTAATAATTATATATGATTTAATTAATTAATTAATTAATTATCTATACTTATTAAAAATGTATACTTAGATGGTACACATTCCTGCTGTTTTAAAAGAAATACACATAGGGCCTACAAAACCCGAAGATATTATCCCTTTTTACGATTATCATTTCATTAACTTCGAGAAATTGTCGTTTACAGAGGGCATATCATATTCATCTGCTTAACGTGTATGAGCCGAATACTACTGTTGTATTGGCATATTATAGTCTGCGAAATCAACTGCCTGCAATCAAATTCTAACTCCAACGAAATTCTCATGACCACGTTGATAAAGGTGTCTGCATAGACAACAGAAGGTCCAAGGTTCAAATCCTAGTTGGGTCAATTTTTTCGCATTCGCAGGTTCCTCTTTTGAGCGCTGCATGTTATTATTATTTCTATGCTTGTTTATATAGTTACATAGTAAAAGCGTTTTGGCGCAGCTGGAATTGAACGGTTTGATTTCCCAACCTCAAGGTCGGGGTTCAATCCCTCGGTGTGCATTTTGCTTGCCGCCCTTAAGAAAGGCACTTTACCTCCATTGCTCTCCACCTAGGAGTATAAATGGGTGCCTGGGTGTGGGTTGTCTGCCACTGGGCCAATATGGCAGCAACACTTAAGCATGTTTACCCAATGAACTTACAGCCCTTCGTAACTGAAAGGAAAAAGTGCTATACAACAAGTAATAAATATATTCTCACGAATCGACCAATGAGCCAAAATTAACCTTCGAGAAAATCGCAATAGAACAATTATCACTTTTTTAATGCTAATTTCTGATCTGAAAAAAAGTCATATAAAAATTATATATTTACAGATCAACGTCTGAAGATATTTCCGGAAACTCAGATGATGAATTCTGGGAAAAAGATTCGTCACCAGGACAACATCATTTATATTCCACCATAGACCATACAGGTGATACCTGCGAAGACGATGTTTTCGATGACGTTGAAAGCAAGCATAACAAATTACAGACTCATATTTATGAACAATGTGACTTTGCAATTACGCAGAATCATAATCCAAAATCTTCGAGTATCCATACCACTGCAGACGATGAGAGTTCCCCGTCATATGCAGTAGTTAATAAGAGGCAACCGTCGACCCCTGTTTCGAATCAAAACACTTTGGATGCGGGTGTGCATAGAGAAAGTGGATACGAAACTACGGAGCCGGGCGATGCTTCCGATAATATCGACAATTATAATGAGATTGGAGGTATAGAATTCGGTGGCGAATGTGAAGAGACTGATGGGAAATTGGATGACGAAGTGTCAGACGATGGCGAAACACGTGCTGTTGATTTGCTGAAGGATTTACTTAGAAAAACCATAGTGTCAGGCGATCTAGAGGATACTGACAAAGATGAAATTGAAACGAATAAAGAGGAAGAGGAAATATCGGCAATGGACAAACTCCGTGCGTTGCTAGGAAACGAATAATGATTTGCATGGGACATATTGCAATAACATCGTGAATTATTAAAAGGACAAAGTTTTGAATTGTACATTCGTAAAGAGAGGACTACTATATACATTGGAACGTCGTTATAAATATCTATTATTTTTTGTTTTCTTTAAGTCGTTTTGCTTTATTGCCATCAACAAATCAAAGAAATTGGTACCGTAACGAAATAATTAGGATTAAAATCATGCACTGGAGTGTGATTTAATTTGTTTATATGCTTCGAAAATCCTTTTTATGCCTAAAATCCTTCTTAGACTAAAATACGGTACACACTGCGCCTGAGGATCGTCAGTCGACGTGATTTTTTATAGCGAATAGCTCAGCTTCTCCACGCGTCGTCAAACGCTCATAGTCCTACAATCTTCGCGTGCGACGCAGTGTGTGCTCATCAGCTTTTCGGAACTCAAATTTAATAAAATACAGATAGGCCTATTTTGATAGCTCCTGTTTTGTCAACGTACGAGCATGAGGTTTCGCAAGCTTACAACAATAACGAATACGGTTACGTCATCAATTCTTTAGTCAATCTATCCATAGAGTATACATCTGCCACAACTTAGCCCACCTTTTATCCCTTACAAATATTCAGCTCGTATATAATGTCAAGAATGTTTAGGCACAAATGACAATTATATGATGACGTATCCTTTATTCATTATCTTTTTCGTAAGTTTGCTAAACTCTAATAGGCCTAGGCCTATTTCACTTGGAATACACGAAGATGCAATCTTCATTATACAGAGCAGTAAGTTAATAAGCAGAATATTTTATTTGTAGTTAAATTGTGTTCAAGAAACTAATTCGTCGTTGTTTTGTTTTATCATTTGATGTAACAGGTGTATTTTGCTTCGACTTTATTTTGTTTATTCTGCTATATAGCGTTTTTGTTAAGAATTTATATAGGCCTAAGCTTAATGACCATCATAATCGTCCTCTTCATAGCATAGACTCTGACTTTAGATTCTTATGTAAATGTGTACGCAATGACCACTGTAGCAGTACAAACAAAATAGGAAAAGAATGTTAACTTGTTAAGTTTGAACAAATGTGAACGTTATTTATTAAAGAAATGGTTTCTAATTTAAAGTACCGGTATTTGTTATTATGAAAATAGAATTACTTATTTGTTAAATATCATTTAAGTGTATGCACCAAAATCGGCATACCATGAGATGGAAAATGATGAGTTTTACAACACCTAAGCTCTGTCGACACTATCATTTCTTTTTTTTACAAAAAAACACTGTTGTATGCCCATATATAGTCACGACGTGCCTATATATGGTCATGATGTGATGTCATCATGACCATATTTAGGCATGTCACATGTTTTTGTCAAACAAAATTTTATAATCTGGACAGGGCGTTACAACTTCACATTTGGGCGCTTTCGATTCACTGTTCTCTGGTAGGACGTAGAACGTAATGACGTCACTAAAAGTCAGCTGCGCATGCGAGAACGTTAAGGACCCAGTAGGACGGTCACGCATGAGTGATTCCATTTTAGCGTCGCGTCGTCGAACAATCGAAAACTCCATATTGAAAAGGAAAGACTGAATGCCAAAGGTTGGGATAGAATTCGGAGCTGGACAGGAGAGGTGAAAAGCTTTAATTTTGCACTCTCCATAACATTTCTGGCAATCGGCAATAGAACCGAAAATAGGATTATTCCCTGCAAACTTTGATCAACAACTTGTTTGCATTATCACTTTAAAGCGTTAGTAGACATCTAGTTCAAATAAATTGCAGCAAATGTATCACATCGTATGTTTGTTTTATTGAATGTATAGGGTACAGTATCCGATTGTTTATGTTCTGTGGCACATACGGATCCTAAGAATATGTTCTGTGATTGTGTCTGTGGCACCCAGAGCCCTAGAATGCAAGAATCAGCAAAAACCCACGTCAAAAAAAGAGTCCAATTTTGGAAAAAAAAAAAGAAACTTTACTCAAAACATTTTGTGCTCCAGAGTCGCATATATCTTAACAAACTATACATTTTTTATCCGCCCCTAGTTGATTATGCCCGTCCCACGTTTACTACTACGATTTTATCGTTTTTTTCATGATTATGACATCATTTGATTTGATTTGTGAAAATATTTTTGTTATCTTATGTCTATGTTACATTAGTGGTTGATTTTGGTTACAACAGTGGTTAATGTTACATTAGTGGTTGATTGTTACATTAGTGGGTGATACAGGCCTTGTTTAGTCACGGGTAGTTGTACGAAATGAACGGTTTGTTTACTCAGGACGTTTAAAATGCACAAGTACATGTATATAGGTACAGTTAGGCCTACTTAATTAATGAAAAACGATGACAATAATTAAATAATGGTGACGATAGGCCTAATGATGATGAGGACTACGAATAAACTGGCCTATAATATACATAGTTGATTTCTCGTAACCAGTGGGACTTGTTTTCTATTATACTGGCATCACGTCCCCATCTTAAAAAGATACTGTACAAACAATGTTACGGTAACTAATTATAATGTTACTGTGTTTCATCATTTCTACTGTACTCTGTATGAATTTGGATAGGCCTATACGTGAAACGACGATGACACAACAATTACCGTTTATTAATGAATAAACTCAATGATAAAATGAATTTAACACAATACATCTAAATATTTATTCGGATACACTAAGATCACCACCTACATATATTATTATTATTTATTATTATTATTATAACTATTATTTTTATTGCTAAGTTATGTATATATCCTTATGTTGTGCAGGCTCTACTACTGCTACTACTATTATTACCACTACCACTACATTACTACTTCAACTACCACTACTACCACTACTACCACTACCACTACCACTACCACTACCACTACCACTACCACTACTACTACTACTACTACTACTACTACTACTACTACTACTACTACTACTACTACTACTACTACTACTACTACTACTACTACTACTACTACTACTACTACTACTACTACTACTACTACTACTACTACTACTACTACTACTACTACTACTACTACTACTACTACTACTACTACTACTACTACTACTACTACTACTACTACTACTACTACTACTACTACTACTACTACTACTACTACTACTACTACTACTACTACTACTACTACTACTACTACTACTACTACTACTACTACTACTACTACTACTACTACTACTACTACTACTACTACTACTACTACTACTACTACTACTACTACTACTACTACTACTACTACTACTACTACTACTACTACTACTACTACTACTACTACTACTACTACTACTACTACTACTACTACTACTACTACTACTACTACTACTACTACTACTACTACTACTACTACTACTACTACTACTACTACTACTACTACTACTACTACTACTACTACTACTACTACTACTACTACTACTACTACTACTACTACTACTACTACTACTACTACTACTACTACTACTACTACTACTACTACTACTACTACTACTACTACTACTACTACTACTACTACTACTACTACTAATGGCCGCCATAATGACCTCGGATTAGGTGGTTCCTACCAAAAATTGAATGCTATGACCATAAGGAGCATGTAAAAAAAAATTGGTGCTTTTGTCCGGAACGTCCACATCCAACTGCTAAGCTGCCGGACTAAAACAAAATAAGAAAAGAATGTTAACTTGTTAAGTTTGAACAAATGTGAACGTTATTTATTCAAGAAATGGTTTCTAATTTAAAGTACCGGTATTTGTTATTATGAAAATAGAATTACTTATTTGTTAAATAAGTGTATGCACCAAAATCGGCATACCGTGAGATGGAAAATGATGAGTTTTACAACACATAAGCTCTGTCGACACTATAATTTTTTTTTTTTACAAAAAAAACACTGTTGTATGCCCATATATAGTCACGACGTGCCTATATATGGTCATGATGTGATGTCATCATGACCATATTTAGGCATGTCACATGTTTGATAATCTGGACAGGGCGTTACAACTTCACATTTGGGCGCTTTCGATTGCACGACGACGGTAGGATTTCACTGTTCTCTGGTAGAACGTAGAACGTAATGACGTCACTAAAAGTCATCTGCGCATGCAAGAACGTTAAGGACCCAGTAGGACGGTCACGCATGAGTGATTCCGTTTTAGCGTCGCGTCGTCGAACAATCGAAAGATCCATAATTGAAAAGGAAAGACTGAATGCCAAAGGTTGGGAAAGAATTCGGACCTGGACAGGAGAGGTGAAAAGCCCCCAGGTTGAATATATCTGTCCTACGTACGATTTTATCGTTTTTCCATGATTATGACGTCATTGATTTAATTTGTGAAAATAAGTGGTTTGGTGCAGCGGGAACGGTTTAGTTTCCAAACTTTGAGGTCTGGGTTTCTATCCCTCGCTGTGCATTTCGCTTGTGTCCTTGAGCATGACACTTTATCTGCATTGCTTCTCTCCACCATGTTAGGAGTATTAATGGGTACCTGGTAAAGTTGTCTGCTCTTGCACTGATTACAGCAGCAGCAATACTTAAGCATGTAGAACTAATGACCGGGGAAGATTTGCAAAGAAAGGCGCTATATAATACACGATACGGGAAATCTCGTGCTAGCGTAAAAATTATATTATTTATTATTATATATTGCTTTTTAGTTTTTATGTTAAACCGTTTTGATTATTAATTAATGTCCAAGTATAATTCATTGGTTTTTGTTTAATGGTAATTTTGTAACGTATTTTGACATAATTCCATTTTTTTATGAATAACTTTTAAAATGTGTATTTCCTGTCAATCAAAATCCTGTGATTCCTTTTATATTTATTTTGTATTTTTTTTATGATGCAATTGAAAAAAAAAATTAAAATATAAAATTTCAAATTTAAACTTTTTTCTCCAAATTTGTATAGAATCCTCACATGCGCATTCACATTCCTATCGGAGTTTTTGATAAGCGAAAAAATGCGCAACCAATCAGAGCTCAGGAAGCGAGCCGACTCTTTGATTCGCGCGAATAAATTCGCTTAGTGAAAAACCAGCTTCACACGCGAACTTACTACTGCAATGAAGCAACTAAATGTTGTATAAATGAAAGCAATTTCAAAATCTATTAAGCATTTCATGAATCTATGATATATTATAATATTGACAACATCATCAATAGAACATATAGGTGGAATTGTGTCCAACCCGTCGTGAAAATGTACTGAATACTCAGTACATGTGAAAAACACTTGCAAAAATAGTACTCGTTGCTTACTTTGGCTCGAATTCACCCCTGGCCATCAGGTGCAAGCTCGGTGGTCTAAAGGCTGTCTCTTATACACATCTAGATGTGTATAAGAGACAGATATATAATTCAATTACTGAAAGTGTGCAATCCATTCAAATTCAAAATTCAAATGACATTTATTAAATGATGGAAATAATAATGTAATACAATACAATACAAATAGTAAACCACCATCATTGGGATCATGATTAGAAATAAAAAACTTGTCTCGTCATGACCCCCCCCCCATCCCTAAAAAAAACAAAAAAACTACCATTATTATTTACTGATGGTACAATGATAAATATTATTTTTAATTTTACTTTTAAAGACAGGTAAAGAAACTGAATTTCACATTTTTTATGTAAATTTTCTAATTTGTATATTATCTCATCAATTCAATTTAATTAACTTGATTAATTTATTGCATGATTCATGATTGAAAGTTCATTCATTATCATATAATTATCCCGGGAAAAGCCGGGTCGTTCAAACTAGGTAACTGCAGTATGAGCATGGATAGGTCTTACCTGATAAGTCTGGTATAGCAGCTCCGTGAGAGAAATAAAAACAGTTCAGCAGCACTATGATAAGGACGGGCAGCAAATAAGAGTCCATGATAAATATTTGATTTAACTAAACGACTGACTAAAGCACATGCTAGTTTTACTTGATGATTAGCTGGATGAGTCGGCTGTGGGCCAAAGACGAAGGTGGCAAAATTCCAAACAGGGGCTTGTATATAGCGCAGCCAACTGAACTGAACTCATTCACATAAACTGTGATGGTTCAGTGAGTACGGCATAGCTCCGCCTGCTATATTTCGACCAATCATCTCTCTAGGAAGTTATCGGAAGTAGTACTAAAAGTTGACGACCGGAAGTCGGTGAAGCAGAGAATTGCAGGCGTTATTAGTGGGGTCGTAATGAATGGATACATAATCAGGTGAATGTTAAAATATATTTTTAAAAATAATAATTATGTGACACGTTGTTTATTTTCTCCATGGTTCAGTGAGTACGGCATAGCTCCGCCTGCTATATTTCGACCAATCATCACTCTAGGAAGTTATCG